GCAAGCTTTGTTAGATCACAAACAAAATATCACTACAGGGTACTGCCAGAAATTGTATAGAGTCTAGATGTTCATAAACTGCTGAATGGATAATGAAAACATGCAATATTTGTACAATAAAATAATTTGTTTAACTGTTAAGAAAAATTAAATTTTCAGAAAACTGGATGGAGCTAACAGAATCATCCTGAGTGTGTTAACCCAGACCCCAAAAAGCATGTTCTCTTTTATATGTGGATGTTAGATTTTAAGCTTTAGACATGTGTGTTTCAACTTGAATAACCACAGCGGAAAGGGGTCCAATTTCCAGCTCTTATGAAAGAGTAGCAATGAATATGGATGAGCAAGTATTTATAGAGTAAGATGTAGAATCCTTTGGATATATAGGCAAGAATGGTACAGCTGGATCTTGCTGTAGATCTATTCCCAGTTTCCTGAGGAACTGCAACATTGGTTTCCATGGTGACTATACATGTTTGCACAACCATCAGCAATAATTAAGTGTTCCTCTTTCCCCACATCCTCTTAACATGAGCTGGCATTTGTTTAATTGATGTTGGCCATTCTGACTAGTGCAACATAAAATTTTAAAGTAGTTTAATTTGCATTTCTTTGATGACTATGGGTGTTGAATATTTTTGAAAAGGTTTTCTCAGCCATTTGTGTTTCATCTTTCAGAATCTCAAATTAATCTTGATTTGCATTTCTCTGATGCCTAAGGATGTTGAACAATAATCTAGATACTAACCCTCTATCAGATGTGTAATTGGTTAAGATCTTTTTCCATTCTGTAGGCTGCTGTTTTGTTTGAATGTTGGTGTTCTTTGTCATACAAAAGCCTTTCAGCTTCATGAGGTTCCATTTATTAATTGTTGACCCTATTACCTGTTCTATTAGTGTTCTGTTCAAAGACTCTTTTCCTGTGCAAGTGAGTTAAATCATCTACCCTACTTTCTCTTCCATCAGATTCAGGGTATCTGGTCTTATGTTGAAGTCCGTGATCAATGTGAGTTGAGTTTTCTGCAGGTTAATAAACATGGATCTATTTTCATTCCTCTATGTGGAGTTTTCCAGTTTGACAAGATGCTATCTTTTCTCCACTGTGTATTTCTGGCTTCCAATTTTGTAAAAAATAGGAGTTCATAAGTCATAGAATTATGTCTGGGTCTTCAACTTGAATCCATTTATCAATGTGTCTGTTTTTATGCTAATAGCATGTTATAGTTCTGTAGTTCAACTTGAAATCTGGGATGCTGATACCTCCAGCAGTTCTTTTTTATTAAGGTAATAATCCCATTCCCTTTCTTCCTCTCTTTTCGCTCCCCGCTCCATCCCCTTATCCCACTTCCTATTTGCTCCCCAGAGTAGGTAAGGCCTCTAATGGGGAGTCATGAAATTCTGTCCCATTACCACATCGAGGCAGGACCAAAGGCCCCCACATCCGTGTCTAGGCTATCTCTCCATAGGAAATGCATTCCAAAAAGCCAGTTAATTCTTTAGGGATGGCTCCTGATCCCACTTCCAGGGGTCTCACAAACTTCACAAGCTACCCACTGTCACCTGCATTCAGGGGACCTAATTCAGTCCTGTTCAGGTTCCCCAGCTATTAGTCTGGAGTCACTGAGCTTCTACTCATTTGGATCAGCTGTTTCTGTGGCTTTCCCTATCATCGTCTTGACCCCTTTGTCCATATTATCACTCCTCCAATCTCTTTGACTAGACTATAGGATCTGGGTTCAGTGGTTAGTTGTGAATCTCTGCATCAGTTACTGGATGAAGGTATCAGGAGATCATGTATATTTCTCCTTCTGAGGCAGATCCATGCATGCCACTCTTAGGGTCCTCTTTAATACCTAGTTTCTCTGGGATTGTAGACTCTTGGATGGTTATCCTTTGCTTTCTGTCTAATATCCTTTTATGAGTGAGTATATACCATATTTGTCTTCTGGGTCTAGGTTATCTCACTCAGAATGTTTTTTTTCAGTTCTTTGCATTTGCCTGCAAACTTCAAGGAATCATTTTCTTTTACCACTGAGTAGTACTCCATTGTGTAAATGTACCACATTTTCTTCATCCAATCTTTAGATGAGGGGCATCTAGGTAATTTCCAGGTTTCTGACTATTATGCATAATGCTGCTATGAACATAGTTGAGCAAACATGTTCATCTTATGAGTGTGGTTCCTTTGGGTGTATACCTAAAAGTGGTATTGTTGGGTTTTGAGATAGATTGAACCCCAATTTACTGAGAAATCCCCATATTGATTTCCAAAGTGACTGTACAAGCTTGCATTTCCCCCAGCAATGGAGGAGGGTTCCCTCTTCTCTACATCCCCTCAAGCATAAGCTGTCATTGATGTTTTTGATCCTAGCCATCCCAACAAATGTAAGATGATATCTCAGAGAAGTTTTGATTTGTATTTCCTTGATGGCTAAGGTGGTTGAGCAATTCCTTAAATGTCTGTTAGCCACTTGAATTTCTTCTGTTGAGAATTCTCTGTTTAGTCCATGTTCTTTGCCTTATAGAAGCTTCTCATTTTAAAGAGGTCCCATTTATTCATTGTTGCTCTTAGTGTTTGTGCTTCTGTGGTTATATATAGAAAGTGGTCTCCTGTGCCAATGTGTACAAGTGTGTTTCCTACTTTCTCTTCTGTGAGGTTCAGTGTGGATGGATTTATGTTGAGGTCTTTGATCCATTTGGACTTCTGTTGTGTGCATGCTTATAGATATGGATCTATTTGCATTCTTCTACATGTCAACCTCTAGTTATTCCAGCACCATTTTCTAAAGATGCTTTTTAAAAAAACATTGTATAATTATAGCTTTATCATAAAAAATCAAGTGTTCATAGGTGTGTGGATTAATATCATAGTCTTCAATTTGATTCCATTGGTCCAGTTGTTTGTTTTCATGCCAATACCAAGCTGTTTTCATTACTGTAGCTCTATAATAGTGCTTGAAGTCAGGAATGGTGAAGCCTATAGACATTCCTTTATTTTACAGGATTGTTTTGGATATCCTGGGTTGTTTGTTTTTTCATATGAAGTTGAGTATTGTTCCTTTAAGGTCTGTGGAGAATTGTGTTGGGATTATGATGGGTATTGCATCGAACCTATAGATTGCTTTTGGTAAGGTTGAATTTTTGCTATGTTAATCCTACTGATCTAAGAGCATGAGAGATCTTTTCATTTTCTGATATCTTCTTTAGTTTCTCTCTTTAAAGATTTAAAGTTCCTTCATTTTTGATTTTTTCCCCTTCATTTTGTTATGTAGTGGATTACATTGACAGATTTTCTGCATCTCTGGGATGAAGATTACTTGATCATGCTGGATAATTTTTCTGATTTGTTTTTGGGTTCAATTTTTCAGTATTTTAATGAGTACCTTTTCATCAATGTTCATTAGTGATATTGATCTGTAATTCTCTCTCTTTGTTACATCCATGTGTGATTTAGGTATCAGGGTAACTATTGCCTCATAAAAAGAATTTGGCAATGTTCCTATTTATCAGTTGCGTGGCACAATTTAAGTAGTATTGGCATTATCTCTCCTTTGAAATTCTGGTAGAATTCTGTCCTAAATCTAACTGGCCCTGGACATTTTTGGTGGGGGGAGTGGTTGGAGACTTTTACTAGCAGCTTCTATCTTCTTGGGGATTATATGTCCATTTAAATTGTTTATCTTGATTTAATTTTGGTGTGTGGTACCTATAAAAAATTGTACATTTCTCTTAGAAATTTCCAGTTTTGTAGAGTACAAGTTTTTGAAGTGTAACCTAATGATTCTCTGGATTTCCTCAGTGTCTGTTGCTATGTCCCCCCTTTTGTTTCTGATTATGTTAATTCTGATAGTCTCTCTCTGCCTTTTGGTGTGTTTGGATAAGGGTTTGTCTATGTTGTTATTTTTCTCAAAGAACCAACTCTTAATTTCTTTGATTTTTTTGTATTGTTCTCTTTGTTTCTATTGTATTGATTTCAATCCTCACTTTGATTATTTTTAGCCATCTACTCCTTCTGGGTGAGTTTGATTCATTATGTTCTAGGGCTTTCAGGTGTGCTGTTAAGTTACTAGTGTGAGATTTCTCCAGATTCTTTACATAGGCACTTATTGCTATGGACACTCCTGTTAGCACTGTTTTCATAGTGTCCCATAAGTTTGGATATGCTGCGGATTCATTTCATTGGAATCTAGGAAGTATTTCTATTTCTTTCTCTATTTCTTCCTTGACCCATTGATAATTCAGATGAGAGTTGTTCAGTTTACATGAGTTTGAAGACTTTCTGAAATTTGTGTTGTTGTTGTATTATAATCTGAGGCCATAGTTATCCAATGGGTTTATTCAAGTTTTTAATACCTGTTGAGATTTTTTTGTGATCAAGTATGTGGTTGATTTTAGAAAAGGTACCATGAGATGCTGAGAAGAAAGTGTATTATTTTGTGTTTGGGTGAAATATTCTGTAGATGTCGTTTAAGTCCATTTGGTTCATAATATCTGTTGGTTCCTTTGTTTCTCTGTTAAGTTTATGTCTGGTAGAACTGCTCCTTGTTGAGAGTGTGTTGTTGAAGACTCCCACCATTGATTTGTGGGTTTGATGTGTGATCTAATATTTGGCAATATTTCCTTTACAAGTATGTGTGTCATTATATATGAGGCATAACTGTTCAGATGTGAGACTTCATCTTGATGTTTTTTTCCTTTGATGAATATGAAATGTCATCCATATTTTAATTTTAGTTTTAAGTCTAGTTTGTTAGCTATTGGGATAGCTATATCTGGCTTGTTTCCTAGGCCCATTTTTCACACTGAGGTAATGTCTGTCTTTAAAGTTGAGGTGTGTTTCTTGTACGCACCAAAAGAATGGATCCATTCTGCTAGCCTGTATCTTTTTATAGGTGGATTAATGACCAGTGATGGTTAATTTCCATTATTTTTTTGGTTTTGGTAATGGTGTGTGTGTGTGCGTGTGTGTGTGTGTGTGTTTCTGGTGTGTGATTATGTATAAAAATATGGAACTCTTCATGAAATTGTGTGTAATCCTTGCACAAGGGCCAAACTAGTTTTCTCTATAGCATTCAAATTTTAGTATATGTGCTGCTGAACCAAGAAGCATTTTCCAGGCTTGAACATTTTTATGTGTTTCCTCCATTGTTTGTTTGTGTTTTCCTGGATTTCTGTAAGGGATTTATTTATTTCCTCTTTGAGGCCCTGTATTATTTTCATACAGGTCATATTAAAGTCTTTTTCTTGTGCTTCAACTGTTAGAATATTCACAACCTCCTGAAGTAGCAGGTTGCTGGGCTCTAATGGAGACATATTGTCCTGGTTGTTATTGATTGTGGTTTGTTTTTATTTTTATTTTTAAATTTAAATTAGAAACAAGGTTGCTTCGCATGTCAATCCCAGGTCCCTCCCCCTTTTCCTCCCTTCCTCCCACGCCCTGCCACCAACCCCCCCAATACCCCATACTTTCCCCAGGGAGGGTAAGGACCTCTATGAGAGTGTCCACAGTCTGTCATTTCATTCAGGGCAGGGCCTAGACCCTTCCCAAGAGGTGAGATTGTGTCTCTCGTTGTGGAATGGGCACCCAAAGTCCATTTGTATGCCAGGGAAGAATGCTGATCTACTACCCAAAGCCCCATAGATTGCCTGGTGTCTACTCCTCCTGGGTGAGTTTGCTTCTTTGTGTTCTAGAGCTTTCAGCTACGCTGTTAAATCTCTAGTGTAACTATTCTCCAGTTTCTTCAAGTGGGCACTTATTGCTATGAACTTTCCTCGTAGCACTGCTTTCAAAGTGTCCCATAGGTTTGGGTATGTTGTGTCTTCATTCTTATTGAATTATAGGAAGACTTTAATTTCTTTAATTTCTATTATTTTCAGACAGGCCATATTAAGGTCTTTTCCTTGTGCTTCAACTGTTAGAATATTCACAGTCTCCTGTAGTAGTCGGGTTGCTGGTCTCTAATGGAGACATATTGTCCTGACTGTTATTGATTGTGTTTTTACACTCACATCATACCTTTTGTGACTGGAATGCTTATAACTCTAGGTGCTGATTTTTGCTTTTGTCTTTGTTGGGTGGGTGGTTTTTTCCTTGGGTTCTGTTTCGTCTCTGGATTCTAGCATAGTATAGAAATTTGCCTGGTAGAAAATTTTCTGTGAACCTCATAGTTGTGGCCACTGGGGGCAAGCTTTATTTGTTAGAATACAAACAAAATATCACCACAATGTGGGGTATTATGAAAATACCAATGAAATTTACAAAATTGTTAGGCCTTATTTTAAAATATATATTCTACTAAATTTGAAAATCTAAAAGAAACGTTTAAATTTGTGGATATGTGTGACCTACCGAAAGTAATCAAAGATGAGATAAATAATTTGAATATATATAACAAGCAGTAAGATTAAAAATGTCCAGCCCCTGTTAAACTGACTTGTTTGTTTTACTGCGCCTTCAAAGGAGTGGCATTAGTGCTTCCCAAACTATTCCATTAAACAGAAATGAAGAAATATTACCAAACTTAGCCTTGTTTTCTCTCACTTTTGAAAACAGGACCTTACACTATGTAGCTCTGACTGACATGGAACACATGAACTGTACCAGGCTAGCCTCAGACTCACAGAAATATGTCTTCCTCTGCTTCCCTAGTGCAGGGTTTAAAGACATGCTCCTCTATGCCAACCCTTCTCAATTCTTTTTGAAGCTAATATTACCCTGATAACAAAACAAAAACAAAACAAAAACACTAAATTATGTGATGAACTTAGGCCAAAAAAAGGTCAAAGAAGCACTTGCAAACTAAACGTAAGAACTCATCTGCCGGGCGGTGGTGGCGCATGCCTTTAATCCCAGTACTCAGGAGTCAGAAACTGGCGGATCTCTGTGAGTTCGAGGCCAGCTTGGTCTACAGAGTGACTTCCAGGAAAGCCTCCAAAACAACACAATGAAACCCTGTCTCGAAAAAAAACCAAAAACTAAACCAAACCAAACCAAACCAAAACAAACAACAACAACAACAAAAAACTCATCAAAAACATTACTCACCATTATCAAGCTGGTTTTACTCCAGAGATTCTGGATTGGTTCAATATGTAAACCTATAAATTTTATAAATCACATAAATGGACTCTAGTTTAGAAATTACATGGTCATCAGACACAAAAGGTTCTTTGGCAAAGTCCGACATCCCTTCATGTTTAAAGTTTTAAAAATCTCAGAATACAAGGACCATAGGAACACATATCAGTATAATAATATAACAAACCTTCAGGCAACGTGTTAAGGAAAATCAAAAATCCCATTCACAGTAGCCTTGATAGGTGAAATACATTGTAATAAATATAACAAAGGATGGGAAGGATCTCTACAATGAAAACTTTAAAACACCAAAGAATTAAGTTGAGAAAAACACTAGAGAATGGAAAGACTCCTAATGCTCCTGAATTGGAAGAATCACTGTTGTAAAACAGGCTGCCCTATCAAAAGCAATCTACAGGTTCCATACAAGCACAGTCAAAGTTCTGTAGTGGCATCTTGCCTGTGAACCTGTAATGGTGGACACACCTCTTTGGGCATGGTTTCAGGTGGATGGAAGCAAAAAAAGGGTAGGGTGAGGCATAGTCTCTTTCACATGCTCTTTGTCTTGGGGCAGCAGATCCGATAGGAAGGACAGAGAAGCACACCCACGATTCTTTATTATTATTTGTGTAAGTGTTCCCTAATAAACACCCCTTATCATTTATCTTGGGTCTAATGAAATCATTACACCCTTGCCTTCAAACTCCAGTTCTGTTCATCACAGAAAGAGACAAAACAATTTAAAATCCTTGCAGAAGCACAAGAGATCCTGGACAAACAGTAATCTAAGTTGACAGTTTCGGGAAGAGACAACACTATCAGGAAGACTAAACCACCTTTCTTCCACATCCCTTGACTAGACAACCCCTTTGCTCTGTTCTACTGCCCACTTTGGTGAAGATGTTCTGTAATGAAGAGGACCTACAAAAGACTTTTCAAGGGTGTAACAGAAAGTAGCATGTATTTTACTAACTTACAAGTCTCAGAGCCCTACTCTCATCCTTAATTTAAACAACAAAATTTACAGGTATAATACGAAGTTTCTTCTACTTATACTATATCAGTATCAAAAGAGTTCCATTTGTTTCCTAACAGGATTGACAAGATACACTCTGAGTGGAAAATGTAGTGATAAAGTTTACATAATATACTATGATCAGTTGGGATTCCTACACAAACTGACTCCAGAACGCTTTGACACTGGCTCATCACCTTCAGGCACTCGTGCTTCTCATCTGATTTTTGGAAAGGTCAGTAACATGATGCACTGAAACTGTTTGCCTTGTTTTGAGAACAGATGCCACATTCAATGTTCAGGACAATGAATGAGAAAATGTTTTCCTCAATGCAAACCCTTTTAAGGTTTTTAAATTGTGTGTGTGTGTGTGTGTGTGTGTGTGTGTGTGTGTGTGTGTGTGTACATATATAAAGGCAGGTTTTTGTGGATGCTATAGGTGCTGGGTTTTACCCTAAAGCTGGAGTTACTGGCAGTTGTGAGCCACTTGGCAGGGTCCCTGAAAACCAAATGCAGGTCCATTACCAGAGCAAGTGTGTGTTCTTAACAGCTGAGCCATATCCAGACCTATCCGGACCAACACTCTTTGCCAAAGGAAAACTTTGTATACAACATGAACAGCTCCAAAAATCTTCTCCAAGCCCCATGGGTATCCTCATACAAGGTTTCACATCAGAACAAGTCTAAAACAGATCTGTGAGAAGTAACTTAGCTCCTGGTGGATTTTATATTCTACCTTCAAAGAAACATCACCCTTTACAATTGCCACAAACAACATAAAATACCTTAGGGGTAACGCTAACCAAACAAGTGAAAGACTTGCATCGCAAGAACTTTGAGTCTTTAAAGAAAGAAATTAAAGAGGACACCAGAAAATAGAAAGATCTTCCATGTTCTTGGATAGGTAGGATCAATGTAGTAAAATTGGCAATCCTGCCAAAAGCAATCTACAGATTCAATGCAATCCCCATTAAAATACCAGCACAATTCTTCACAGACCTTGAAAGAACAATAATCAACTTTATATAGAAAAACAAAAGACCCAGGATAGACAAAACAACCCTATTCAACAAAGCCATATCTGGAGGCATCACCATCCCTGATTTCAAGCTTTATTATAGAGCTGTAGTCCTACTAACAGCTTTTTTAAAGCTGTGAGCTTTGTATAATTTTTTTAAATTTTATTTTATCTTTTTTAAAATTTTAAATAGCTTGTTTTACATGTCAATCCCAGTTCCCTCTCCCTCCCCTCCTCCCACACTCCCCTTCCCCCCCACCCTTCCACCCTATTGCGAAATCCTTCCACATAGGGGACATCAGAGTCTGTCATTTTACTCTGGGTAGGGTCCAGGCACTCCCCTAAGAGTCCAGGCTGAGAGAGCATCCCTCTTTGTGCTATAGGCACACGAAGACTGTTTGTATATCAGGGATAGACACTGATCCACAGCTCAGGGCCCCATAGGTTGCCCAGACCTTCTCGCTGACACTCACATTTGGGGGGTCCAGATCAGTCCCATTCTGGCCTCCCCACTGTCAGTCTGGGGTCCAAGAGCTCTCCCCTGTTCAGATCAGCTGTCTCTGCTGGTTTTGCCAGCCCATTCTTTGCCAATTTGCTCATCACTCCTCTCTCTCTGTCACTGGGTTCCTTGGGTTCAGTTCAGTGATTAATTGTGTGTTTGCCTCTGCTTCCATCAGTCACAGGATGAAGGCTCCCGGATGGTTATAGACATCAAGTTCATTATCAGGAATGGGCATTCGAGGTGGTCTCTCCACTATTGCTTAGCTTGCCAATTGGTGTTATCCCTTTAGATCACTCGAGGTCGCTCTGGTGCCTGATCTGTATTCGATCCTATGATTCCCTCTTCTCCCTATTCTACCCCCACCCCCTCAACTTCCTGTTCCCCCATGACCAGCTTTTTATTGGCACAGAAATAGACAGGTAAACCAATGGAATCGAATTGAGCACCCTGATATTAACCCATGCATGTATGCACATCTGATCTAAAGCTAAAACTAT